AATCTGAAGGAGATGCCAAGAATCCTTTCCAGGGAAGTGAGACCAGCACAACCTACTTATAAATAGCCAGACCTGCTCCGCCAGGAAAGGAACACAGGCCAGGCACTGCTGCCACCAGCAGCCACTTTGAAGGGCCCTGCCGGCCACCTCACTCACCCTTTCCCTGGTCATTGTCGCAGAAACAATGCCATCTTCCCGAAAGGAAGCCGGCAATAAAACCTCCTTCAAGACTTCCTACTCCGAGTTTTCCCGTTCACACCGACTCGGGCCAGGCCTGCCCCCCACATGGGGGCCTCACAGCCACGGGCTCCAGGGACCTAGATACCTGGGTTTTCCTGAGTTGGGTGTGGAAACTGCTTTTCGGTTCAACAAAGATTTTTTTCCCTTCTTTTCTTCTTTCCCCTCAAATTGCTTTTCTGTTTCCTGTGGCTTATAAGGCTTCTGACCAAGTGTCTATGATGTCAGATGCTAAAATGGTCAATGTTTCTATAAAGTGCTCAATGGGCTTAACAATTCTTTGTGATTGCATTTTTTTAAATTAATGGAGGGATATGTTTTTCTTTTTCTCCTTTTTTTTTTAAACAAATGTTATGCTTTATGGCAGCACAATCTTGCTGCTTTACAGTACCGATAAACGCAGGTACACCTGCACTATAAAACCCACTTTACATGAAGCAGGCCGTTCCTGTTTTATGGCCCATTTTTCAGCCATTGTTCTCGAGCCGTGCCATAGGTGTGTTGTAATGTGCTGGGAGGTGGACGCCCCGAAGATCAGTTTAGCAGAATGGTCTAATTTTGCCAACTTTAGTGCCAAAATCTGGATTGAAAAATGCAGGACTAATATCCCAGTAGACGCACGATATGATGTCACTTCCCTGAAAATGGCCAAGATAAACATCTATTTCCAGATCACTTGCACTTACGACATGAATTCTGCCTCCTTTTCAATCCCCAAATTACGGTTCCTGTTTTCTAACAATTTTAATGTTAACCTGGTTGACATTTGAACTTTCCTGACTTTTTCTCAGACTCGAAGGTTTTATTACATTGCTGGTGGAGGAGGCAGCATTCCATTCCAGACGTAATGACACTTTTGGAGCCTGCAAATCTGAGAACTTTAGAAAATGATGGGAGGCGGACTGACTGGTCCTGCTGACAGGAGGGAGCTCAGAGATGCCTGTCCAGAATCCCAAGAGGCGGCCCGACAGCCTGCATCCAACGCTGGCCGATTGGATGCTCCTTTGCTCCAAGCAAAGCTCAACTGGTGTTTTACTTTTCCTTCAAGTGGGCAGGAGAGTCGGTATGCACCAGTGTGGATCCGCGCAGTTAGTACGAGAAATCCCTTTTCCACAAATCTGCTGATGTCTGTGCTGGGCCTGCAGTTGGCAGTGCTCCTCAGGATGGAGGATCACAGACCTGTTGCTCGGAGACAACGCAACCTGAGCTGCTAATAGGTGGCAGCTCTTTGTGTGCACAGTCCCCATCCCCATGAAATGCATGCAGCGTTCCCCAGGCACTGTTCCACAGACCCGGAGACCGAGCACCAGCGAGGATAAGATGGCCACTGCTGCACCTGAAGAGCTTGCCAACTCTCATGCGCTGGGTGCTGATTGCATGCCGCACCCCATCTGAGTTCTTCCCATGACCCCGGAGCACCCCACGAGGGGGCTCCACCTGCTAACCCAAGTCGCAGACGAGGTTGGAGTTGATGTTCAAGCCAATGGCAGCAAGTGCTCACAGAAAGATTCACAGCCAGACTCTGTGGCCTGGTCTTAGACATGCACCATTGTGGCCAAACTGGTGAGTGTCATGGAAGGAGACCAGGACACGACACTCATGTGGTCCCTATCCCTGGGAGGATGTGTGCAACCCAGAGCCAAACCTCTGGGGGCAGTGCCAGGTGTGAAATCAGCCCCAGAGGAGTGGGGCAGCGTTGAGGGTGCAGGGCTGGGAGCAGAGCTGGGCTGCCATGGAGAATGTCCCCCTGGCTGGGCCTCCTCCTCCTGGCCCATCTCTACTGCATTCTTGTCCGCTTTGCTCTGGGTTGCACACTTCCTCCCACTGTTGGTGACGAAGGTGTGGTTGATAGGTGTTCTTCCTGACTGCTGCTGCCTGCGACTCCCCTCATGCACATGCACACCCATACCCTCACTCCACCTCCTGTCTCTCTTCCCCTCGCTCCCTCCTTGCCTCTCCCTTCTGTTCCCCCTCTGCCACACACACACACACACACACACACACATACAGTATTCTGTTCACACAAGGACATAATAAAAGAATACTGGTTGGCTTTCAGCTTGCACAGCAAAGGTGCCAGCCCCGTGAGTGTGGGCTCCCGCGCCCATCCCACAGGGTTTATGGGCTGGCGCGGGGCTCTGGAGTAGAGGAGGGAGTAGTGTGTGGGGTCAGGTGGGCCCTGTGCTCCACCTCTTCTGTCCTGAGGAGGTGGTGTAGATTCTGTGTCCTGTGCTTCGAGTGGGGTGACATTTTTCCTGGAAACCAGTGTGAGGACCAGAGATCCCAGGGAACTGCGGACGTCGTCCTGCTCATGGGGAGACGGCACCGCCTACCCGCCTCCTGAGCTCCCTGGGGTTGGCCTCTCTGCTCTCCCTGCCAGTCAGTCCACAGGAGGAGGACAGGAGAGGCTGCAGTTTCCTCCAGGCAGGACTGGCAGCACACTCCTGGCCTGGGGAGGAGGCAGAAGCTCCGTGTCAACGCCAGACCCTGACATGCCCTGGCAGCTTCCATCCATTTTTACTCAGTATCCCCAGCTGGAGTGAGCCCCGTTTCCAGTCCCCAAGCCTTTGCCTGGCCCATTTGGGATTGTAGCTTGTCCTTAAGGTTTAATCTCACTTGTAGGCATGAGATCTTGGAAAATAATAGCCACGACCCACTTCCCTCTGACTGTGGAAAACACTGATGGCATTAAACAAATATCCATTGCCTTTCGGTGATGTAACTTCCATGCAGACGCCCTGGGGTGAGCCTCCGACATCTACTGACTGTGTGGGCTTGGGGGAGTCCTTTCCCATCCTCCCCATTGTCCCCCTAGGATGAAGGTGCTGGAAGGGGACCTTTGGGTCCCTGGCACTTTCTGAGAGCTTGCAGGACTTGGGAGTTAAAGGCACACCGTGTTTGAAGTGTGTAGACTCTGACCAAAGGAGCTAACGAAGGGCCTTCCTCCAATTTCACAGTGCATTTTAATTAGTTGTGTGCATGTGAAATTTCACGTCGACGGCTGCAGCATGACAACACTGCTTCTGAGTACAGAGGCCTGACTTCTGAGAAATCAGCGGAGGCTGGAACCCGTCACGTGGCCTTTCCTGACCACAAATCCCCATGCGCACACCCAAGCCCAAGAGGAGTTTGGGTTAGTTTTGTCATCAGACAACTCCCAGGCTCTGTTTCATCCCAACGTCCAGCCTGCCCAGGCGTGGAAGGAGAGACCGTAGTGTGCACTGGCTGCTCTGAGTCTGCTCAGAAAGTGGATTGCTAATTGTTTGATTTTTCTGCCAACAGGATTCCCTGCAAATTAGAATTGTAATCTCTGTGGGTATTTCCTGAATTAAAAGAAAATATATAATAAAATAAATAAATATTAGTTGTTTGGTTGCGTAAGCTTTTGAGACCTGCAAGGCTCCTCATCAATTATTAAACACGGCCAAAGACGACATTCCTAACTAGTGTGTGTGTTGTGACAAGCAAGTCACAGGCACAGAGCTTTGAGGCACAGATTTCCACGCTCATACTGCTGGGGCCTGAGGTCTTTGCCCAGCGGCTCTAAGTTCTCCACCACCTACTTTCCTTAAAAACAATTAGCACAGTTGTTGAAAAAAATATAAAAAAATAATTTTAAATCTAGAATTCGCCATATGAAGCATGCGTACGCGCGCGCACACACACGCTCGCACACACACATTGCTAATCTGGAGATCAGGCACTGTGCAGATTCTATGCGTCTGAGCTAATGCGTCCTGCGTTGGTTACAGGCATCGATGGGCACGCGTTAGGTGGCAAATGGCAACAGGAGAGATTGGACACACTTCATAATTTGGTGGCAGAAGAAAAATGGCAAAATCTTGCTCTGGTCAAAGTCATTAAGGGCCAGGTTCACTACACAATCCTGGTTAGGAGATAAAATATGAGAGGGCAGCTTACATATTGCAGTGATTAAATATTTACTGTTCAAAGAAGATTCGCAGAACTTTTTAAAATTAATGGCTTCAAGTCTTTGTTTGGATAGTATCACAAGTATTGAGCCATTTATTGAACTGTTTGCTGAGCTATTTCACCATCGTTAGCGACATCCTCAATTGCCAGCCTTCCCCTCT